CATGTGGGAAAATCCTGGCCTCGATTCTAAGACATCTGTACTGATGGCATGCTCAATATGTGAAGAGTAAAGAAAGAGAGGATAAGAACATCTTAAAGGAGGCAATGTGCGAAACTTAAGAATGCTTTCAGGATTTTTGTTTTTTGCCTTGAAAGGTCAGAAAAAGAAAGTAGACTTTGTTAGGCATTAGATATTCACTGTATTTTGAAATCCCTCCAGCTACACAGCATCAAAAATTTTACATACTGAAAGTCTAGTTTAAGGTGATAAAACTTTCATCAATCTATCTTAAAATAAAATATATAATTACAAGCATATTTTCCATTCTTGGATGTGAGTGCTGAAGCTCTGTTTCTAGAATTGGTGAATTCTATTCTCCATTTCCATGTATAAAATATCTCACAGTCCTGGGAAAACGCTTTTTTAAAAAATGGAATACAACAAATAAGGTACGCTGCCGGGTCCTGGGGGAGAAGTTTCCTAGAGTCTTTGAATTTCCTCCTATCCTCCTTCTTTACAAGATTTCTAAGACCAAGTCCTTTTCTGCAGTCTCTCAAACAAGGTAAAAAAGAAAAATACCCCCTAGATATATCCCTTAGATTTTCTATTATGCTTCTCAAGTTCCCAGAAGCTTCTGAAGTAAACCTAAGATGAATTCTGGAGTTATTTTTTTATTATGTTTTAATTTTAGTTCCTCTTTCAGGTCTAAGATAAAATAGATGATCATAACTGCTGTGCTTGGAGATGCATTTCATGGCACAATTTGTACATGACCCGTGCAAGGTCACGTCATGGAAAGAGTTCTGACATGACAGCTAACAAGTCGAATCCAGCTTTTAGTCTTGGAGAACTTCAGGGTAACCTATTTAAGCCTGCTCCATTTAGTGCAATATGGCAAGAAAAATTTCCCTTTAAACAGTGCATATTAGATATTTTCTGTATAGGGAACTTACTCTGGCTTGGATAGTGCCAATTAGGGACACATGAGGAATTATTGCTCAAATCACTGATCATTAAGGGTCATGGTTTGTCACATTGTGAGCCTTGGTGCAGACTGTGGCAAGCTGACCCAATCACTGTCCACCAGGTCGTGGGTTCTGGCCACACCACACCTTTTTATACCTCTGGGTCTCTGCCCGTGCTGCTCTCTCTGCCCACTATTTTCACTCTGAGCCTCCCCATTGAAAACATCATCTCCCCTGTAAATCTTTCCTTCATTCCCTCCCAGTAGGGTTAGTTACCTCCCTCTGTGTACTCATAGAACTTTATACCTATCTCTCCTAGAGGATTTATCAGATTCTATTATAATTATTTGTTTGTTGTCTCCACCACTAGAATATGAAGGCTTGTACATTTACCCTTATCTAGGATTTACCATGTGCCAAGCACTGTTATAAGCACTTTAGATGTGTCAACTCTTTTATCTGCACAACCTTTAAGGTTGATATTAGCATTGCCTCCATTTTACAAATGAGGAACACGAGGCACAGAGAAGTTAAGTAATTTTCCCAAGGACACATAGCTAGTAAGTGTCAGGAGTTGAACTCACGCAGTCTGACTTCAAAGACTGAGCCTTTCCTGTTATTCTTTGTGTTTGCCCAGGTGACTAAGGAAGGCAGTTCATAAACATCAAATAAATAGAAAGAATGATCATTATGATTTCTCCATAGTTGCCTAAGCACAAATTTAGAAATATGTTTTGTCTTAAATTGATTTCACCTTCATCCTTGACTATGGATGCATTCATTTGTCTAAAGAACATCCAGCCCAGACTGGGGAAGAGAGAACTGGTTGGGAGGTAGAAGGCCTGAGCTTTTGCTGGCCCTGCTACGTCACAGCCATAAACTCTCAGCACCCCACGCGGTCCCAGGTCTGTAGATAGCTGCAGGAGCCCCTCCTCCAGGCTGCTTTCAGATGCTCAACACTGTCCACAGAGTGTGACGTGAAATGCTTTGGAACAGAAATGCTATTAGCAAGAAAAACACTTATGCTATTCTTTGTAAACTAATGTGGCTCAAGGAAGACATTTTCACTTTGAGGGTGATTCAAAGAGAGAGAGTTTTTGTGGTTGTTTGATTAGAAGGGAGGCACTCAAATCATTAAGAGTCAGATGTGTTTATTTTTCCTCCTAATATTTAAATTCATACCCCACTCCCCTCAGATCAATGTCATCTATTTTGCCTTTTAAATCACTTTTTAATTCTTGTATTTTGATTAAAATAATTCTTACTCATTGTAGAGATTTGGAAAGTTCAAAGATGTTTAAAATATATAATGGCACACTATGGGTCTCTTCCAATGTTTTGAAATTCTCTTCTAAAATGACTTCTCTTTTAATGGCTATGTAACCTTTCATCAGGATGAGATAGAGCATAATTTAATTAAACAGTCTCTATTTTAAACACTTCGGTTGATACCAATTATTTGCTTGTATAGGTAACAATGCAGCAGACACTCAACGTGAAAGAATCACGCGTGAGGATCGTGCAGCCCTGCAGGCGAAGGGCCTTTTGGGAGCCTGTCCTGGTGGCCTTCTGGGAGCACACGGAATGCAGATGCTGGGCCCCGCTCAAGAGGCGCTGATGCGTCTGAGGTGGGGACTGGGGCCTCTTTCTGAGAAATACTGACATTGCCTCTCCTTTGATAATACTTTCTCCTCCTTGGGTTACCCTCTTTACTCCATCTCAAGACCTCCCTACAAAATGAGGTGACTTAAAGCTTTCACATTCAAATTGGCCCTGGTGAATAGAGCTACTCATTCCTGACTTAGGTCCTTTATTACTTTAGGCGACCGCACCATCTTGCAGCTCCCCTTCGGTGCCTCCCCATCCTCACCCCTACTCGCCACAGTCCACCCACCCGTCCTCCACACCACAGCCAAGAAGAGGTTTTTATGCTGCAAATCAATGACGCCCTTTCCCTGCTCACTCCAAAACCCTCCCCTGTGCTGACCAGAGGCCACTCTGCTTCCCTCGCACTCTCCTCCCTCCCTCTCTCTAACTGCTCTGGGCTGCTCAGAGAATGTCGCTTCCTCGAAGAAGCCCTCCTTGACGCCCTGATCTACATCACTTCTCCCAGCCCAACCTCTGGTTGCTCCCTTTTCTTCTCTTTCACAGCACACGGTGGGCTATAGACTCATGGTTATTGGGTTTAGATCTGTCTCCCCACTTCACCACCAGCTCCATGAGACAGGTACTGAGACTAATTGTTCGCCAGCATACCCTGCCCTGAGCAGTGCCAGGGAGAGGAAGTATTCTAGGTGGTGATGAATATGGGCTTTGGGGCCAAAGGGCTCAGGTTCAAATCCTAGCTCTGCTACTTAGTACCTGTGTGACCGTAAGCAAGTTACTTAACTTCTCTGTGCCTCCATTTTCTTCAGTGGGATTATAATGGGACTACCTTATAGTTTTGCTGTGAGAATTAAATGAGAGAATATACAGCAGTCTTGTAGAATGGTGTCTGGCATGTAGAATGCATCCGATACAGGATAGCTTTTTAAAAGTAAGCACTCCGTATATTTTTGTTAACTAAATAAAACACAACAGCATTTTTAGTGGCGACCTTTCCCATCATCTCTGCCCCCTGCCCTAGCCAAAGCATTAGCCCAATCAACTTCTCCCAGCAGTCTGCTCCTTAAAAGAGCTCCACTTCTGCCGTGAGAAGGCTGCTGAATATACTCTCCACTCCACATTATTAGTCCCAGCTTTGATCCTCTCATCACGTCACTTCCTAAAATATGCGCTCATGTGCCAAGCCATCTCTCTTCCTTCGTTCAAGTATTTCCTGAAATGTGACCTCCTCCACGGAGCCTTCTCTAAGTGGGACTGAGCTCATCATTCCATCCTGTTTCCAACAAATAAGTTAAAGGTTGTTGTTTGAGGTTCCAAAGCTATAAATCGTCTCAGCTTTCACCGGCTGCGGGGTCTCATACTGCAGGGCAGGTGGGGTTTCTTCTCTGCCTGCACTTAAGAATGTGAGTCTAAGGGCAAAAGGTTTGTTTAACTCCCTCTATATACATTTAGCACAATGCCAGTCCACATGGATGCTGAAGAAATGCAACCTGACGATGATTTAATTACTCTGTCCATGCTGGGAATAGAAACCATGAACTCTTAAATCTGTTTCCCCTACTTTACAATGTGTTTCGATGCTGAGTCTATGATGAGACTGGTTTTCTGCATTTACTTTCACAAAAGAACAAATAAAAAAGAAGAGAGAGTTACATGAAAATATCAAAGTAATAAAATTATTTTCCACATCATGAGTCCAAAGATACCTTTAGAATAGTGGTGCATTGTATTAAAAGGTGCCTCATTTAAAGTTTAATTGCACATGCTTTATGCGTTATTTTGTAAATCTAAAATGGATAACCAAAACATGTCAATACTCATTTTTAAAGTACTTGTTGTATTCGGTGCATGCACCATTATGGAGAATTTACACTCAGAGCAAAAAGATTTGTAGCAAAGCATATGACCTTCTTCCCACTACAATGACCATTCCCTAATTAGGCAATGCATCTGATAGTCATTAACAGGAATGAGATAATGAATCACTTTCTCTCTTCTTTGTTAATTTGCTGTAACCAAGCGGCTAATGGATGTCAGAGCTGAGTGATTGCACTGATTATAGTGATTTATAGTTGCAACAAAACAATTTAAAACCATTCTGATTATTCATGTTAAAGATGCTTTATGTTTTGTTTACTAAATGTTTTATGTCCCCCTACCTCCTACCCCTGAAGTACTGTGCCCCTCCTACCCTGCCACTTCTCACAAAAAGACCTCTTTCTAGAAAACTTGCAAGTTGTAGGCTTTTTTTTTTATTGTTTTAAACTAAGCCATTTCATTTTGTTTATATATATCCACATATATATACAGATATATAAAGTTTACCCAGTAGAAACGAAAAGCCTTAGGGGTGGAAAGAAAACTTCAGTGGTGCCTAGTTCAAAAGAAGAGAGAAATAAGAGGAAATAAGGCAAACTTCAAGCCACTTACCTTGGGGCTTCCAGTCCCTTCCTCATCCTCCACAGACACATCAGTAGCCAGAATTTCGGCTTTGATGGTACCCAGAGCCCGGAGAATCCAGCTGTGTTGCCGTTTGATTTGCCTCTGCAGCTCCTTCCATTGACTGGCAATCATCCGCAGCATGTCCTTCAGTCCTTCTCCAAAAGAAGGGGAATGCGCGAGTTACAGACTCGACTGCATTTTCACCCATTATTATTCTTTATTTAGTAAATTAGATGGATATTTCCAACAATAAACATAATTTTAAACCACCATTACCATCACCTACCATATTAGCATTTATGACTGGGAATTTTTGACTTGACATAAGGCACACAAAAGTGGGATAACCACACAGATGAATGGTTTGGAATTGACTTAGATTCAGTATATTGACTAAAAAAATGCATGTGGAAAAAAACCTACTATATATAAAAATTATTAAAATGATAGCTTCAGATTCCAAATAAAAGGCCTTGTGTGTAGCTGTGTGGAGACTTCATAAGGATCAGAAAGATGTATGGAAATAGGTAAAGTTAATTCGATGAGAAATGCTGTAAATGGGCCAGAATTAAGACAGCAGTCTTCAGCATTAGCGCAGCCGGTGGATGCTGCTCTTTTCTTATTTAGCTGTGGAAAGCTCAAAGCACGAGCCAAATTCTAAGTCATCCTGTCTTATGGTCTTTTACTACCAGGATAACTATAACCAAATGACAAAACTATTTTTTACTTATAATCTGCTCTTCATAAATACATTAATACTGGGGGAAGAATTGGTTTAAAGCCAAAACTCTGCTAATGCAATGACCGGCAAAGAACATGCAAAATGTTCACGTGTGTGAATTGGCAGGCAAATAATCAGATACCTCTAGACGCCTGCCCTGTATCTGTAATGATATCTATAAGTACCCTAATGCATATGCATTAAAACTATATGCACAATTCTCATGTATTATCTTAATGTTATTTCCAGAGCACCTACATCAAAAAGCATGTCAATACGAAGTTTTCAAGAATGTGATTTCAATTGAAACTCAGGCGAACTGCAAGCCCAAAATAAAATGAACAGACCATTTGGAGGCAGTATTTCATTTTATAAGTATCGCAGCATTGTATGCAGGATATGAAACATTTATAAATCTTGAAGGTCAATCTGATAATGTAAATGTTAATAATACATAAGGAAGTGAATATATGCAGCAATTTATAGCAATGCTTCTTCATTCCTAATAGTCTGGAGACATAAAGACTTGCAATATTTCAGGAGGATTTACCTGCTTTGTGGGATGCAATAAGCTCAAGAAGTTGGTATCCTTCCTCTTCCACAGCTTCCTTGAGAGCACAATGACTGTCTACATTCAACTTAAAACTCTGCAAGGAAAAATATGAGCATCAAACTCTGGCAAGGCAGTTAAACACAAAACATCCATACAAAGCTACTTCCTACTTTTTATCAAGAACCACACAGTCCAATTTACCCAATAGACAAACTAATTTGCAATACTAAAAGCTATTGATATTTGGGATCTGGGCTCAAAATGTTTCCATTAGATTAGCAGAGTGCATCTGTTTGGAAACAGCTGATAAATCTAGAAATTCATTAGGTTTTTATGAAAAGTCAGATCCCATAGGCTATAGCAAAAGTAGCAGTGTTCTATAAAATACCCTGAATTTCTACCAGCACATATGAGCTCTTTTCATCACTTTTGAAAAATGTTAGTGATAGCACTATTTATGAAACCATAAAAAATTGGCAGTTTAAATTATATTAGCCTTATGTGCACATATATAAACCCATTAATACAGTAGGGTTTGACTCAGCTCCATTTCTCAGACGTCACAAACCATGGAATATTGAGGTGGATTTAGGTGCTGCACTGAGTCAACTGCTTTTCAAATGTTTGATTTTTAAAAGTTTATTCCTTACACTGTAACACTCCTTTATAAATGAGTACATCAAGTACATCAGGGGCATTTTTCCCTCGTGATAGTCATCCAAAAGACAAAAACTGCCGTCAGGGCTGAATTCCAACGCGGAGTCATTTCTTTCAGGAAGCCTTCCCTAGTGTCTTGCGTGGGGTTAATTCCTCCCGTCTGCTACCTCTGCTCTTTATGTCTGGTTCTATTATAGAATGTAGCATACTATATTGTGCTGTATTTCTAAACTTGGCTACCAAATTATAAACAATTTGAAAGAATTGCCAGTTTCACATTTATCTCCAACTCATGTCACATACAAGGTGTTCGATAAATGTTTGCGGGAAGAATGGGTATCTGTTGAAGTGGATCAATAGCACTCTCTGAAGGGGAAGGTTTCCATTTAAATATTTCAAGAAACATAGACCGTTTTCCAAAGGTTCTTCCACCTCTGGAATGTTATGAGATGCTCCAACCACAGGAGGTCCAATGGCGAGTAATCATAGTAACCAATCTGTTGAACTGATGGTTAGTCTTCAGGGTAAAAATCCATTCCTTGAGTTAACTAATTGAAACAAGCATGGATTTTTAACCACTGTATGCCAAATTTTGGCTTCTCCATGATAGGGCTTCAAAATTTACAACATATCTTGCTCTCACTACACACTCATTGAGCAACAGCTGTATGCACTGCAGTGAACTTAATATTAAGAATATTTGACACAAGTTGGAGATGATACAGTCCCAGTTGGAATGTAATTTGGATAAAAGGGGTTAAACAACCATAAATCAGGAAATAAGGTATTCATTCATTTAGAAACAATGTATTGTGCCTATTTTGAACACTGGGCCGGGTAATAGCGACTTAGGGGGTATAAAGCATGGCTTCTGGCATCAAAGGACACCTGCACATGCCACTAGGAGAAGGAAGTGCAGCCTGAGTCATCTTGGATGTTCAGTGGTGAGCCCTGGCTCTCCTCTTCTTAGTGGAGATCTTTTTAAAGCTCAGAAAAGGGACCTTTTCAAAGCTCAGAAGAACAAGCAAAACAATCAAAAGAAGCTGTAAATGAAGAAGATAGGGACAGACAGATCAGGTCTTAAAGCACAAAGATGAGAATTTTGCCTAAAAAAAATTGACTCCAAAATGACAAATCATTTCATCGGACTAAAAGCACAAGAAACAGTCAAACTTGACAGAAAGAGACAATATGAGGTTTCCCCAAGGATTGTTCACTATTTCTTGTATTGTCCTCTTTCAGCTACAGGTATTTGGTTGAATAAAATAAAGAATGGCAGGGGCCCGGCCCCGTGGCCAAGTGGTTAAGTTCGCAAGCTCCGCTTCGGCAGCCCAGGGTTTTGCTGGCTCGGATCGTGGGCACGGACATGGCACTGCTCATCGAGCTATGCTGAGGTGGCGTCCCACATGCCACAACAAGAAGGACCCACAACTAGGAGTGTACAACTATGTACCAAGAGCTTTGGGGAGAAAAAGGAAAAAAACAAAATCTTAAAAAATGATAAATAAGAAAATAAGATAAAGTATGGCAATGTATGGGAATCCTGATGCTTATGGCCAATCCAAACTATATAATATCTATGAAAAAATAAATATGTATTACTTTTTAGCCAAACTTGGCTGCATTTACTTTTCGCCACTGTGGTGGAAATCTTCAACTCTGAAGCAATGCCGTGAAGACTGAGGTACATGTGTGTTTCAGGGAGAAGGGATGGGGTGAAAAAAAGCACTTGAGATAAACCCGAGAGTGCCAAAACCTAGGAAGAAACCTGTTCTAGAGATTTCCTCATAACTGTAAATTTAGCCTAATGCACTCTTTGATTCTCTGTTTACTTACAACACACTTGTGCCGAGTGGTTGGCAATCACGAGCTTCCAAAGAGTGCATCAGGCCTTTGTCTCAGAGCAAAAGCCAACCAATGACCTGGGAGGAGGTGGGATAATTTGACATAATTGAAGCCAAGGGCACAGAACAGATGCAGCTGGATGTGGTTCTGCCTCAAGATGACGTGGAAGCATTTGATGAGGAAATTGGAAAAGATGAGGTATTTATTATTAGGAAAAAGATAAGCTGATAAGCCTGATGCCATGGGAAAGAACTATATAATGTAACTATGACCCAAATGGTACAGTATTGCTTGATTTTCAGGTGCACCCATTAACCATTAATAATATCAACTAAGGAATTCACAATGGGCCTCTGAGAAGGCAGCCAAGCAGCCACATTAACAAAATTGTCAACGAAATTCTGGCTGCTAAAGGATTCTGTAATAAGCACTCCCCATTCTGCCCCCACTTCTTCCCTAGGGAAGGAAGCTTAGACGAAAGGATTTTATTTTCTTTCTTCTTTTTTCTTGAACATGATACTTAGTCACATTTCCTTTTTTGTGCTCCTAACCCGTCTCCTCAGCAGTGCCTTATGGTACATAGTCCCTCTGCAACATCCATAGCACTCCCTGAAAGTGCGGGGCATTTTCTAGAAATTTAATTTATGGCAACAACATTGCCATAGGCAGGTGCCACAGTGCTATGTCACTGATTATGTGAAATTCCATAAATATGAGTAATCTGGGTCCTGTGGGACAGCAGACCTTTTTTAACGTCTTTAAAGCAGCTTGTAACTGAACATCTAGAAGAGAATAACTAAGGAAATGGAAAATACAGTGACTGAGACAAAGAACTAAATTATCAAAAAGCTGACACATCAGAGGTCCTTCCATTACTGCAGCTCTAGCCTCACCAGCTTGTGTAGATCTGGGTGCCTTACTTCTTGGCAGGATCCAAATTTGGCTAAGCATGCTGATTGTACATTGATCGTGATCAGACCTTACAAAGCAGATAAAATACTACATCCAATCCTATTCCATTCAAATTTCTGAGGAGCCTAGTTTGATGGGAATGTGGAGGTCATGTGGATATGAAATGAAACCAAGGAAATATATGCCTTGCTGGACAAAACTATGACGTATGTGAAGAATGACTACTCATAAGGGATCAGGAGACTAGATATGGATCTCTGGTACAGGAAATAGCGGGAAAGGTCAAAATCACATTCATAGATTAAAGTTCCAAAGTGGCTCGGTCTTAGCAGCATCATATCAGGAACATAGACTTCCAATCATCCCCATGGAACACTGTTAGTGTCTGCCAGGTCCATTGAGGCCCGTGAGTATTATGTTTGTGAACAGAGAGGCCAAAAAGAGTTCAGAGTCTTTCCTGACCTAATTTTAGTTATTTTAAAAGCATAAATTAATACAATAGATATTTATTGAGCAGTCTCTCCCAGACCTATAGACACAAAAGTTAACAATTTACGATTCTGGCACATGCATCTTATAGTCTATTGGGTAAAAGAGATAAGAAAGCAAGCAGCCTTACATGACCCAGCATAGAATAAATGTGTAATTAGGTTTTGGTGTATAATAGAGAGTGGTGAGGCCTAAACTCAACAGTGATATGCCCTGTCCAATGAGATTTAATTAAAAAAAAAATTAAAGCATCATGCTGGCCCAGTAAAAACAAGACTGTGGGCCATATTCCACATGAGTGTGGTAAGTGCTGGATGGGTGCTGTGGGAGCCCGAGCTGGGAGCCAGGTTCTGCACAGCCTGGCAGGGAGCTTGTGCAGAAAGGACTGATTTGTATATGGGCCTGGAGACACTCCTTATGGTAGCAGGAAACAGGGAGCCACGAGCAGCTTGGTGTGGCTGGGATAGGATGCAAGCAGGGGAGGTGGGAGCTGTGGTTACACAAGGTACTCAACTCCAAGAACCATGAAAGAGTCATGGAAGAAGATGCCAACAACATGTGAGAGCACCTGGTGCAGTTCTGTGTTCTAGAAAGATCTTTCTGGCTGTTGTGTAGAGTTGACTTTAAAAGGGCAGACTGGAGACAAGGAGGCCATTTAGGAGGCTGCTATGGTAATACAGGCCAGATGTTTCTGCATGCTCATATTTTTTTTTAATTAAAAAAAGGTATGCTTTTTCTTCTAAATGAATGGAAGAAGGAAAAATGAAGAAAATCTTCTGCCTTTTTAAGTTCTTCTCAGTGCGTGAGAGCAGCATGTGCCAGAATTTAGTTCTTTGGCTGTTCTGATGATAAATACCAGAGGTTATTAGTCAGGAGTCTCCAAATGTGAAAGACATATTGAACTGATGAACTTTTACTCCCACTGTCATTTTAAAGAGATGGTATATATGCTGATGAATAAGGCACTTGATGACACTTTCTTCACACAAAAGATTTTTACTACCCTAAGAAAACGAAAACTTGCTTTTTCACAAGGGCAGGAGGAAGAATATGAGTTCAGACAGAAAGACAGAAGCTTGAAAAGTCACCTGCTACCTGCCTCAGGCCATCTCTGCCCAGGCTCCACGCTGAGCTGTGCCCAGCACCATCCTGCCTTTCCCAGGGGGGCTCTGGGCAGGGAAGAAAGCCACG